AATTAGGCCTTGACTTGTGTAACAACTTGACATTGTTAATTTTGACAACAAAGATAAACGCCCCTTCAAGATGAGCAAATGGAATTAAAAAAAATGTCAGGCATATAAGAAGTATAAACCAGTTTAATTGGAGTACAAAGCAATGAATTGTTTAGAATTTGACTACATACCAAAGTATAACAGATAGTCAGCTCGTATATTATATATCTGTGATACTTTGGTATATGGTATGTAGTCAAATTTTGTGATACATTAAGAGCTGACTATATGTGATACTTTGATATGCATTGCTAATTACAATATACATCAGAAAGTACATACAGGAGCACAAAATAACAAACTCGAAGTACAAAGTAGTTAACGTTATATAAGACTTCTCAATATCTTACACCTATCATATACAAGAGCTCAAATTACAAATCAATAAAAAAAAATTGCATATAGTTATAGTACTTACAATATTTTGCTTCGCAACATCATTCACTGGCGTCTTATCAATTTTGGTATGGGTTATCTCGTATGCTTCCAATATGTTCGGCATGACTTGCTCTTTTTCACACTAGTATGCAAAAACTTTAATAATTAGCCGTTAAATAGTTCAAAATATAAATGGAATGTCTCGTAGGACATAAACTAGTACCACTTCATGAATAACTTGAGCAAAACTCTTTGTGCCAGCGGTGTGTCCAGCAGTTTGGCATGAGCGGTTCTTACTATTTCGTTTACTCATCTCCTGTTATATCAAAGCAAACATATGGAAGTAAAAAATTAAAAAAGATGGCAGCTAAGGCAAAACTGAAAAAGTATGTGCAAAACTTGAAAAAGTATCAGGTATCAACCTCATACGGAAACTTGGAATATCTAGTCCTGTAATATCAGATTTTAAGCCAATAAACACAATTCTATTAAGCCAACACAATTAAAATATCAGATTTTCTTAACGATTTGTTACAGATTTAACAAGGAATGCTACCAAGCCCTAATGTGCACGCAAAAGCCAACCATGTACATAAATAAATAAATAATTTTACCTGAAACTTTGGAGATCCAAAATACTCCACAAGCCACTTCCATTCTTTTTTGTTAACACACGGTGGTTTATTTTCATCTTTTAACCGTTCCACATCTGTGTCTTCAGTATCGTAATAATTACTTTTCAGTCTTCCTCTATAACTTTTGTACTTCTTTTTCAAAGATTTCATCAAAGTCTTTTTTCTCTTTTCACTTAGCTTTTCATATTGCTCTTCATCTTCAACATCATCAAGCCCAATATCAAATTTTTCCTTGCAAAATTCAAGAGCTCTTAGGAAAATTTAATAACCTAAATAAAACCAATGTACTATTTACATAGATTAAAATTATCAATACCAAAATAAGCCGCCACATCTTATCCTTTTTCTCTTCGGGTATTTGTGAAAACTCTTCAATCTGATAAAGTGGTGCATTGAGAGTATCTCTAACAATGGCACCACAATAGTTCGCTAGACTAGCTCTATTAACACCAATGGGTTCTCCCTTTATGTTAAAGTCTACTTTCTTCCTCTCACCGGGTCTCAGTTTTGCCAATTGTAGATTTCTCGTGGGACCTCTAGGAGTATTTGACTTGTAAACTTTCTTCTTCTTGATATTCGCAGCTTCAAAAGAAAACAGCAATATTAGCTCAACTTATAATAGTATATGATACTTTCCTTTAATGTTTCAAGTATCATGTTAATATGATACATAAAGCTTAGTGTAATAAATATTTAAATGGACACTGCAATTCAATATGTCAATCCCAACTCCATATGTGTGGATAAAAAACGGCCATTATATTCATTATGCTCTGTAATTATTATCCCCATGTGTACTAATCCATTTTAACATTGTGAAGATGCACGAAGCTTTGTTGCTAGCTAACTAGTGTGAATATATGAGTGATGCGGGAGACTAGACAAGACAATTATATGAAAATAATTTGTACCCAGAACATTGTCTCCTTCCACATTAGCATTTGCCTCATTGTTATAGCTTGTAGTCATTTTTAAGAGCACATCATCTTCTTGATCGTCTAAGCAAAAAGGATAAAAAGTCACAATAATGTCCACATAAACAGTACCCTGTAAATAATGTACACATCATATACCTCTATCCATTTCAAAATCTTCACCATTTCCACTATAGTGCTCGTCATTCTCTAAACCGTAGATATCTGCATTGCAATTTTAAAATAAAAAAAACCTAATTTTGATTATAGGTAAAATGTAAAATATGCTAAAAATTACTTGTGTACCTTCTCTGAAATCAATATCTTCATGACCAACCTCCATTTGTGGTTGACTACTGTTGGCTGGATTGTTAAATCTAATTTTTAACTTACCTGTATCTCAATAAAATATATATATATATATATATAAATTCATTATATGAATAAATAAATAATATAACCTCGTTGAGAAGCTTTCATGGCAGTTGATAGAGAATTTAGTGCTACATTTCCAACTAATGTTGATTGTTTTCTGTTCATTCCATATAACTTGGTAACAGACGATGGTGGAATGAAGTTACGTTGTCTTCCAGCCCCTTTTTGGTGCGTGTTTTTTCTCTGAAACGGCATCAAACAAATAGAAAGTGATAAATATACTGCGAATAACGGCATACTAATCAATATTTAAAAGATGTAAAAGCTAATCATCAGACCCATAATCGATAGTTGAAAAATGAACACTACCTTTTTTGTAACTGAAATATGACCTTCACTCTCAGAGTCTTCCACACTATCATTATCATCAGGCACATAATCATCACCATCCTCACTGCCTCTGTATTTGTGTTTTCTTTTCTTATCCTTGCCACTGTCTACCAAGTTTGTCATTGAAGCAACAATGCGCTTTATTCCCAACGACTTAAATTTCATATTGTTCGCTTCAATCGTCCTTATTCTTTGTTGTTCGTACTCACTATGTGGTACTTCAACACGTTCTGGACATGTCTTTCCTCCCTTTTTTGACATGTTAAATCTAATCCAAAATAAATTTAGCCATAACCAAAAATTCACATTTACAAAGAATCAAATAATACGAATTCTTTCTAGAAAGGTCCATAAAGATTACTATTAAATGAATAAACATGAAGGAATTGATATATAAAAGCGAGTGAAACAAAGTAGAGCATGAACCAAAATAAATTGAAAAAAACTACAAAAGGTTTATGTCAAAACACAACTAGATGTCTTAATATTTTTGACAAAACGACAAAGATGGTTATGGATATGTATCATCCTTTCCGTCAAGAACGCTTTGCTGCTCAGGAACATCATAAAAGTTTCTTGGTGTTGCTGTAACCACCACCTTCCAGTTAGGCTTTAGAACATCATCAACATAGAATACTTGTTGTGCTTGAGAAGCTAAAACATAGGGATCGCTAGTCAAAACTTTGGTTGTGTTGACACTAGTGAATCCATAACGGTCAGTAAAGAATCCCCGACCATGACTATGAACATCCCACCAGTCACATTTGAAAAGTGTGACACGATTTTGTCCAATATATTGTACTTCTACAATTTCTCGCAAGACTCCATAATATGGGAGAACTGACGCTCCGTTTTCACCCTTCACAACGACCCCGCTGTTTTGTGTTTCCCTCCCCCTATCAAAATCCAGTGTTCGAAACATGCTACCATTAACCATGTATCCATTGACCGAAACGACTGCACGATTTGGACCATGTGCTAAATCCAGTAAATGTTTTGTAACACTAGGATGTTTCTCTCGGAACAATTTTGTCACCTATTCATACATAAATTATATTAGTTTTATAGCCTAATATTGATTACAAAGAGAAACCAAACACAATAGGTTTTGTATAGATCCTTACTCGGTCCCTAAACCACTCAATACACTTTCTTTTTCGAACGGCAGTGATCCTTGTTCTATTTGTACCTTCCCAATCATATTCACTGCAATAAATACTTCACTATAATTAATAAATCAATAATGATCTAAGACGAAATTAGAAACATAACCATAGAATCTCACTCGATTATAGGTTGTGCTTCTCCACAGTTGTTCAACACAAAAAAATGAATTTCTTCCAGTTCATTTGTAGAAAGTAGTTTGGGAGTTGCCTTCCCCAGTGGTCTGCCTCTTGTCACAAAAATAGGCAAATGATCTGTTGAACGCAAATCACCACCATCTCTAATCCTATCTTGCTTGGTGAATTGTGTTTCAATATCCTCCATATATCTTGAACAAAACGTTAAGCACTCCTCTAATAAATATCCTTCCGATATTGAGCCCTCAGGGTGACCTTTATTGCGTACATACCCTTTAAGTTTACACAGATACCTACAAAAATTGTTAACATATTTGTCAATTATTTTTATTGATTAATTAAAAACACCAATTGATTGAACTTTTTATTACCTCTCAACGGGGTACATCCAACGATAATAAACCACTCCGGCAATCAACGCTTCACTTGCTAGGTGGATGGGTAAGTGTACCATAATAACGAAAAAAGAGGGTGGAAAAATTTGTTCTAGCTCACACAAGGTAATGACTATCTGCTCTTGTAGTTCTTGCAACTTATCAACTTTTAATGTCTTAGAGCACAACTCTGTGAAAAAGGTGCTCAACTGGATAAGTGGCTTAGAAAGAGCTTCGGGCCAACCACGCACTGCAAGAGGTAACAAGTGCTTCATGATAACATGGTAATCATGGCTCTTCAATCCAGATAATTTGCGATCCTTTAGTAAAGCATTTTGTGAAATGTTTGAGGCATAACCATCGGGAAACTTCACACTTGTCAGAAACTTGCAAAAATCTCGTTTTTGTTCTGAGGATAGAGTATGAGGAGCTGGGGGCATCTCTACAGTTCCATTTTCATGCCTTTTCAAGTGCAACGACCTTCTTATATTCATTATCTCCAAATCAAGACGTGCATTCAAATTATCCTTACTTTTGCCTTCAATATCAAGCAATGTTCCGAGCAAAGTTTCACACACATTTTTTTCAATGTGCATAACGTCGAGATTATGACGTATCAAAAGAGTACTCCAATATGGCAATTCAAAGAAAATGCTCTTTTTTCGCCACAATGGTTTTCGCTTTCTCTTCTTGCTAGTACTCATAGATGCGCCTGCCGTTACTCCTTCAGCACTAACTAACTGGTCTACAACTTCATTACCTGACAAAACATTAGGTGGAGTCCTCAGCTCTTCCTTGCCATCAAAGTTTGTTCGATCATATCTCCATTTGTGGCGACTCGGTAAAAATCTGCGATGGCCCATGTAACAGTGTTTAGATCCTTTTCTCAATCTGTAAGAACAAGTATTGTTGTTACATGAAGGACAAGCAAAAGCTCCAGCAGTTCTCCATCCAGAAAGATCACCATATGCCGGAAAGTCACTTATTGTCCATAGCAAAGAAGCAAACATTCTAAAATTCTTTTTCTTTGAGGCATCATAAGTTTCCACCCCAACTTCCCAAAGAAACTTCAATTCCTCTATTAAAGGTTGCAAATATACATCCACTTTATCCTTTGGCCCCTTAGGACCGGGAACAAGTGTGGAGAGAATTAAAGAATGTTGTTTCATGCAAAGCCATGGAGGTAAGTTATAAGGGATAAGAATCACTGGCCATGTACTGTGTGTTACATGTCCGTTTCTAAAGGGGCTAAATCCATCACCTGCTAAACCAAGGCGAACATTTCTAGGATCAGAGGAAAATGAAGGATATAGCTCATCAAACGTTTTCCACGCTTTAGAATCTGCCGGATGTCTCATTGCCCCATCATCCTCACGTTCATCGTGATGCCATCTCATACTTGAAGCTGTTTTAGATGACATGTAAATTCTTTGTAGTCTGGGAATCAATGGAAAATAACGCATCGTTTTGCATGGGATCTTTCTAACCATAGAATTTAAGGTACCAGATGCATCGCTTTGTTCCTTTTTTTTCCATCTACAAGAATTACAGTGAACACATTCATCCGCATTCGCATGCTCCTTCCAAAATAACATACAATCATTTGGGCATGCATCAATTCTTTTGGGCTCGAGAGATAAAGTCTTTATAATTTTTTGAGCATCATAATATGAGTCAGGCAATGTGTTACCCTCAGGCAATGCATCTTTAAGTAGTTCAAGAAGCATAGCCATGCTTTTGTCACTTATTCCACCTAAACACTTGATGTGGAATAGCTTAAGCAAGAAGGACAACTTTGAGAATTTCTTGCAACCAAGATATAGCTCTAACTCAAGATCACCCATCAATTTGTAGAAGCTATTTACTAATTCTATTGGATCACTAGACTCGCCAATATTTGCTTCACCATCATTTGTATCCTTCTCCCTTGACCTCCCAAATGCATCATGTAGCATTTCAAACATAGATGCATGCTCTATGTACTCATTTGATGCATCTATGTTATTCTCATGAGTTGTCCACTCCTCACTGTTTTCCCCATGCCGCAACCAGCGAGTATAGCTCTTAACAATTCCATGTTTAATCAAATCCAACTCTATTTCTACTCTACCTTTCTTCCTTTCATTATTGCACTTCATACATGGACAAGGAACCACATCGTCCACATCATTTTGTGAAAAAGCAAACTCTAGAAACTGTTTTACGCCAATCCTGTACCTGGGGTCAGCTTTTTTGAATTGCATCCACTCACGATTCTTGTAAACCATTGTATTCTAAGCATGATCATATAAAACAGTTAACTAACACACAAAACTCGAAAACAATATTTCATGCAACAACAAAAGTCTGACTAGGTTAAACTTCCATAGTTTGGCTGCAAATGAAACAATACATTAACTCTCTACTGAGATGCTACCAATCTGCCCAAAACTGGATAATTTGGAACTCGCTGAGGTACATAAACTACGAAATCAGGTACGTCCTTGTACTCACTTTGAAATATATAATTTTCAAGCCTATGTGTTTTAATCTAAAATGATTTTAAAAAAGAAAAAAAATCTAAAATGATTTTTTGTTATGTTATTTGCTATTTACGTTTAGTACAGTTTGAAAGAACCCAAATCTGGCTGGTTATCTGCGTGAAATCCATATTTGAGCTAAAGTTTGATAATAGCTTCTTCTTATGTCTCTTACTAATTCTTTTTGTTTGTTATGTATTGGGAGAAAGGGCAAAAACACCACTAAATTTTATATAACCTGAAACACACGGTAAACCCCCCTTTTAACTAACTGAAACAATTTAACTGAACAAGGAAGTGTTAAAGGGGCTCATTTGACTATTTTAGACCATATATACAACAAAAATGTTTGTATGTTTGACATTTATTTTTAATTTCAGCTTGTTATCTATTATAGATATATATCTAAGAGATCTTGGTCTTAAAACTAGCACATATTTCACCCAATGCAAAAACATATGTAATATAATATGTACATATTCATAGTACAATAAAATATTCTATAAAGCTTAACACCATCCGATTTCACTATATTCATCACATGTGTTTGCCCCAAACACAAATAACACCTTTATCAAAAAGAGTACTATAGCTATGTGTTCCTAAATATCTCAGTAAGTGGTGATGGATAAAAAGAGTAGCAACAATATGGTTAGTTTGCCTATATTGTTATGATACCTGATGCTTAAAATTAACTACTTTTTATAACTTAAGACTTTAACAATTTTTATAGGTGTGACTGTGATACTTCTCGTCATTCTCGATGCCTCTGGATTACCTGGAGGCTTATATTTAAAAAGTTGGACAGCTGGATAGAAATAATTTGAACACACATTGGATGGAAATAAGGAAAGAAAGATGAGCATTTAAGCACCACTACATTGTACAATCTGTAAAAGGAAATTATTTTGTGAAAAAGCGAACTCTAGTCACTGACATTTTCCTAATACAACCGGAGCAACCAGAATCTTCAAAGGGGGCATCAAATGAACCTTTAGTAGAAAAGTAAGTATATTTAGATGAAAAAGGAGCACAAGGCATCTCTAAATATGCAAATCTGGAATATCCTCCGGGATATGGATCAGACAATGAAGTCCCATCCATTAGTGAGTGCAAAGACATGCGCTTATGTCTAGTATCCAAAGCAGTGTTGTCAATAGCGGCGCAATAGCGCGCTACAGCGGAATAGCGGTGCGGCAGACAGGGTAGGCGCTACATGGAGGGCTCTAGCGTGGCGTTTGGGTGTTGCGTCCATAGCGCCCGCTATAGCGCAGGTGCGGGAGAGAAAATAGCGGCCGCTAACGCGACGCGTTTTATGTTACAGAGTACTGCGCAGAATATGAGCCTTCTGGGAGGGATTTTAGCGTTAGATTTTTTAGCGCAGACATAGAAGGGTTAAATTAGACTTTTAAAACAATATTTTAACCTAATTAAAACCCATACACGTACGTTAAACGCTACTAAAAGCTCAAAACGAAGCCAGCTTTTGAATATAATAGTATCTTATATTTTACTCATGAAACTAAATAATATTTCTAAGTAATTTAAGTGGGTGAACCATCTAGTTTTAGTAGTTATAAAAGAAGAAGTTTAATATAATTAAGTATAATATTTCTAAGTAATATTACATATGCTTCTAGTAGTTACTTATCTATTATATTTGAAAGTACTCCAAATGGTTCTATAAAACTTAGAACCATCTACTTTCAGTAACAAATAACAAATAATGACATGTATAGAATGTAAACAATTCGATTTATATAGATGGAGTTTTATATAATTAAGTATAATATTTCTAAGTCATATTACATATGCTTCTAGTAGTTACTTATCTATTATATTTGAAAGTACTCCAAATAGCGGTCATCCCGCTATCCGCTATACCGCTATAGCGTTTTGGGGACTGCCCGCTCCGCTATCTGGGATTGACAACACTGATCCAAAGTGCAAAAAATTGTAGATGAGAAAGATGAAGCTTTAGTGGTTGATAGCAGAAAGAATCCAGTCCCGGATATCACCTTGTACTCTGTTTTTGTTATGTTATTTGCTATTTTCATTTAGCACAGATTAAAAAAGTAGAAATCTGTCCAGTGATGTATTCGGAAGCCATATTTTAAGTCTATCTAAACTAAAGCTTTATGGAAAATCTATGAACTATGAGCTATATGAACAAATACACATATGGTACACACATATATTAACCAAAATTCGGAAACTACTCTGGAAAAGAAAGAGAGGCAGTGAATGCTCTTGTTCAAGTGTATAACAGTTAGCACTCAACCCCCATGAAGTTTTTTATTAAGGGAAGTCCACATTCCAGATTTTGTATTAAATATTTAAATGAAGTTCACATTTTCAGGAATCATATAGTCTTCAAATCCAAAATTTGAAGAATATGCTTCTGATTCACATATGTAGGGAAAGGAAATGAGCTGAAACTAGGGCCCATGACAAACACACATCTCAATATAGCAATTCATAGAAACAGAACAAAATCACTCTTAATTCACAAAATAGTCAATTACACAATCATAACAATTTATAGCTTCAACCATAATTGCAATTTATAAGGTAATAAAAAACTAAAAGAGAAGGCATATCAGATGTCACACGAAAGCAGGTCACCAAGGGGAAACGGGTCGGAAGATTGTTTTTTTTTTAAAATTACTATATCTACGATTTCAACCTAGAGTGGCGATGATCGAATTAAGGGATTCATACCTACCGTTGATGGAGCAGGCCCGGAGAAGATGAAGACGAGACCCCTCTCGCCTAGATTGAGGAAGAGTTGTGTTCGCACTCAGAAATAATTAGATATGTCGAATCCTCTCTTCTCTGGCCTGTGCGATAGAGCGATGGGTTTGAGATTGATGGAAGGTGCGTAGGGTTAAGGGGATATGGGAAGAGAAGGCGGCAAAAATGGAGTGGAATTGGGTGTACATACGATAATAATTACATTAAAAGTTTTATTACTTGTACGGTGGGAATGTACAAAAGGCGGGACGATTTTTAGGAAAAAATTTCTGGATTGATTTTGGCGGGTTGATTGTTATTCGTGCACCGAAACTGGAGGAGGCTAAGTTTTAGAGATAAGTTTGATTAGTGGGAAAAATATATTAAGAGACGTTTGGTAAGACTGAAATTGGCTGAAATGATTGTTTCTACTGAAATTTATGAAGTTCTGGCTGAAGTGGTTGTATTGGCTGATTCTGCTTATTTATGAAAAAATAATATTTAAAATATTTGTTAATTATAAATAGAATTAAAAACTATATGAAAAAATAGCTAAAATGATCTTTTACAGTACTTCAACCAATACAACCAGAAAAGTAACTACAACCTTACCTTTGCTTATTATTACACAATTCAGCGCGCGAAATCAAAAGTTACGTGTTTGGTAAAAAAACTAACTGATAATTTTGATAAGCTGAAAAAAGATGTCACCAAATAGGCTCTAAGTGGATTAAAGACACTCAAATTTTGAAATCCGAATACTTGATAGGCAATAATGATTTAATTAATTGTCATTAATCGCATCTTGCAGAGGGAAAAAAATACATGCCCCAAAATGTGGCCTCTATGAATGACACACTTTTAGAATCAAATGTTTTAGAGGCGTCCATACTTTTGCAACGGGCTTTTAGAGGCAACCCTAAAAAGATTGATTCAAATAGTACCTTTTTGAGACAATTAATCTACGGTTACCTCAAATGTATTTAGAGCTTATAAATTTAGAGGCAACCCCGATTTATATGATGCTAAAAGGATCTTTTAGAGACAATTTGCCTCAAAGAGTTGCCTCTATAGCTGGTTTTTGTTGTAGTGATTGTCCATGTCTTTGTTTTATTTATAAATATGTCCTTTCATAATTAAATTGTATTTACAAGCAATTATTTTACATGAAAAGTTTTGATGTGGAAAGTGGAAACCTCTAATCCTACAGGTTCCTAGATTTAGAAATTTTAATATAGTACATAGGAGAAAGAATCTAACGTTTGACAAGAATGTAAGCCCTTATGAAAAATGCATGGTCTAGGCCTCTAGGATTTATATAAGGTGGGAGAACACAAAAAGAAAGAAAGAAAAACATTTGTACGGTCAAAGGTGAAGTTACTGAAGTGCATGACCAATTGACCATTGTAATGGGTTCTTGTAATGCAATTAAATATAAGTTAAATAGGAAATATTATGTTAACTCCTTTCAAAAAATGAAATATTATGTTAACATACACAATTATAGGTGGGGTCGCTTGATCTCAATTCTATCACAGTTCAAGATATCAAATAAATCTAAAGAATTCAAGATCCCAGCACTAAATCCCTTTTAATATGAGATCATGTCAAGCAACAACATAAATCCAAAACTGAAGTCTTAGAGCCCGTTTGGTAGCACGAAAATCGGCTGTTTTGGTTGATGTTGCTGAAATTTATGAAATCTGGCTGAAGTGGCTGCATAGGCTGATTCTGCTGATTTAAGAAAAATTATTTTTAAAATATATTTTATTAATAAAATAAAGAAAAAATTATATGTAAAAATAGCTAAAATGGTCATCTACAGTAACTTCAGCCAATACAGCCAGAAAAGTAACTCTAACCTTATTTTTTCTGCTTATTACACAATTTAGTGCGCGAAATTAAAAATTACGTGTTTGGTGAAAAATTCGGCTGACAAGCCTGATAAGCCGAAAAACGGTGTTGCCAAACGGCCTCTTAATAACCATTATATGATGATAATAAAAATAATGCACAAGATTTGACTTAGAGCCCGTTTGGAAACACTCAAATCACCTGAAATGGTTGATTAAGCTGAAATTTATGAAGTTTTGGTTGAAGTGCCTATATTGGCTGATTTTGCTGATTTACGAAAAAATAATATTTAAAATATATTTTATTAATCAAATAAAGAAAAAATTATATGAAAAAATAGCTAAAATGATCATCTACAGTAACTTCAATCAATACAGCTAGAAAAGTAACTTCAACCTTACTTGGGTTGAATGTTACACTATTCACATGGTGTACTTTGACTACGTTTTATTTATTAATGTAGTAATATATATTTTTGAAAAAATATTTTTAAATTTGTCTCATAGTAAATTTTCAAAATCTATTTTTTTTATTTTTTTTACTAATTGAGAATTATATATATTAATGGTCAAAGTTGTGTCTCGACAAGTGTGAAATGTTGACCGTTGCATTTATTTAAGAACGGAGGAAGTATAAGATTCAGCAAACTAAAGATAAAGTTGTCGTAGCCAATTTTTTTTTTTTTGGGATGAAATGTAAGTATATAAGTGATAATATTATGTTCTCTTCATTACTTTTTTGTTCCAATTCAACGCAAACACTATATAATTAGTGTAGGTTGTTCTTGGGAAATGAGATTGAATGATCACTTTACTTCTTAATAAGTTTCAATTTGGTCACATTATTTTAATTTGTTTTAATAAGTTTCAATTCTTATTGACATGTAATGGGGTGCAACTTCCTCCACAAGTTGGTTTGCTTCTAATGCAAGTTGTAGCTCTGATGTAAGAACACAGAGGAAGCAAGAATTAGAGCTAACTATAAAGGTATAGTTAAATGATCAAAATAAAACAAATTAAAATAATGTGACCAAAATGAATCTTATTAAGAAGTAAAGTGATCATTCAAGCTAATTTCCCAACAACAACCTACACTAATTATATAGTGTTTGCGTTGAATTGGAACAAAAAAGTAATGAAGAGAACATAATATTATCACATTATTGTCCCTTTATTAAGGTAATGAATGAGAAATTAAGGAGTCAAATTATTTGACTAAAATTGTCAAAAATATGATTGTAAACTAAATTTGTAATTCAATCGATAATTTGATTATAAATAATTCAAATGATCGGAGATAAAGAGTATGTGAAACTTGACAACCCTCGTGAAACTTTAGAGTTTGTTATTATCGTGTTTGGGGCTTTAAAGCACCAAACACATCTGATAATCTTCATAAATTTTTCATGTGATACTTTAATTTGATGTGCTTGAATTGGTGCTTTAATTTAACAAATCATTTAGTTGAGTTTTTTTCTTCATAAGCATCAATATTATTAATGTCTTGACTCTTGATCTAAACACGTAAATAATAGAATAACTTAATGACTAAAATATATGACACTCATTCTATAAAAATAGAATGCTATTTTTACAAAGTTTATCTTGAATAACAAAAGTTATTTGGTTTTGTAAATATCAAGCAATACAAAAAGAATATTGTACCATAAACACTAGTTTAATTTAAAAGATCTTAAATAAAGTGACACGAATTAAAAACGTGTAACACAAGAATTTGATTCTTCATTGTAATAACAGTCATGCATTATAGATAAATAAGTCAGTGTTCATTTTTAAAATATAATATAAGCTAGCAAGTGTGCACCGGTTAGATCAGATATCAAGCAAATTCATAACGTTTTAAGCAATTTTTTAATATTCAAATAAGGTTTGCTTCAATTAGGAATCAATTAGGCGTTTGATCTATCGATAAATTTCTTAAAGCATTTCTATTATAAAAATCTAAGTAATTCTCAGGTACTTTTAGTTATTCTGTGTACACTAATGTAATTAAGTAATTTTTTTTTTGAATAAAAAATATACAAAGTACTACGGACTTACGGAGTATATACTATACTAATTAACAGAAAAACTCCGATATCATTGCCATCAACCATAAATCCTAGATCCGTCCCTCACTTTATTTGACACTCAAATTCACATTGATTTAATGTTGCAATTTATTGCTAACTTATATATATACTACGTAATTCGTACTTCATACTCCATAGTTTTTACTATTTTGTCATGCCTTCGTAATTCGTGCATTGATCTCATGGAACACGTTTTTTTGCATGTATGCATGTGTTAAGATGTAATCACAATTTAAATAGTTAATTAAGATTCAAAACATATTAATCAAATCTAAAAACTTCACCTAACTTGACCACATCACACAATTGAACCATGATATATAATTAATACCGATATTCAAAAGCTAAACAAGACTATATAGGTATGTTTTAAGCACACCCTTTAGCCTCAAATAAAATAGAATCATAAAAAAAGAAGTAAACTAAACATTTATCTTAATAAATCGAGGAAGCAATTCAGCCCATCTAATTGCCGATTCATTCTCCTTTACGGGAGGTCTCGGGTTCGAAACTCAATGGAGTGAGTTTCAGCCCTGGTTACTACAGGCCCCTCAGCCACCCTCCTCCAGAGCCCCCATAGAGTAAAAAAAAAGATAAAAAAAGATAAAAAAAATCTTAATAAATCAAAATAAAGAAACTAATAATTAACTTCTTAAAGTTTGAGATTAAGGTCCAACTTGCCATCTTGATCCTCTTCATTGTCAAGGATCATACCATCTCCAACGGGTGGCTTCTTCTCCAATTGGTCGAGCAAAGACTTTGTACGACGATCCCGAAACACGTCTGTTTGACTTTGACCGATATGCAATGGCGGCGGCCCTGCGGTGTGGGGAACTGAAAAGGTCACACCTTGTGCTTGGTGAATCTCAAAATGGTTTAAAAGGCTTATAGCATCTGAACAAATTTGATCACAAACACGACATATTATTGGGCGCCGGTCAACCAACCAATGAGACCGATAATAGTCATTGGGGCGTTGACTAGTAGTAGAATAATTATTTTTTAAAGCACCTGATTTATGGTTAAGAAATAATCGATCCTCGCCTGCACTTGACATGAAGAATTTTATTAATTGACAAAATATTATAGTACAATTGGCTTTGGTGTGGAGCAATAAAATGGGTTGTGTGTGTATTTATATATGTGAAAAAGTGCTAGTCACCTACCCTTAGGTTAGTGCTAGTAAATAATGCATGAGTATTAATTATAGGGAAGGAAATAGTTAAGGAAATACTTAAATGAGTAGAATCTGAACATCAAATGCTTGGATTATCAATTAGTTGTACATTTTTATATGTTTTTTTCAAAATCCTTCCCATCCAAAAATCTCGCCTATGAGGAAAGGTTACAAACAAAAAATGTTTTATGGAAATGTACAATTTATAAGACAATAAATGTTTGGTACAAACAAAAAATACGATTACAGATATTTCTTACTTACACTACGTCACAGACAACTAGTACCCATACACACAACTAATGTATGTGCACAAACATCGGTTCTTGTGCAATCAGATATCAACATTTCTGCAAAAAACATTTGTGTACAATTCAGTGTGAGTAGGGCGCAAATAAACGCTTCCTCATATACATTAGTTTGTATGAATAATTTATAGTTTTCAGCTTGATTTGTTACAATTTGTCGAAAGCATAACTAATTAATTATCTTTATCCAATCCGAAGTTATGTATAAACATTTGATACACATGCTATTTTCCGGAATTAAAATCACATGAAATTACTCTTAAGCTATACCATAAGTAAAGGTGGTTAAAATGCATCGACTTCAAGAATATTACTGTGCATACATATCATTTTTGTGAATTTTTTCCATTCTTCTCTATTTGTCCATGTTTCACTCCTAATTAAGGATGTTTTTGCATGTACTAATTTTATTCTTAGATTACACTTAAATAAATCCGACTTAAACAATAGTATAATACACATATGTCAAAACTTTATCATCCAAAAGCATGTCTATTTAGATAAGATAAGATTTATCAAACTTGGCAAGGAAACTTCGTTTCAAGTGAAAGTATCCTAAGTGATACTTCAATTCCTCTTGTTTAATATATGTTTTGTCCCAAAAAAAATGTTATTGAGCCATCTTTGTTGTTCCAAAATATGAGTAATTTATGTTTGTATCAATCTCAAGATTGCCCACATTTATTCATTACACATTTGTACTTTCAAAAGTATTAAGATGAATTTAATGTAAAACATATTGAGACTAGAAGAGTCTTCCAGCACTATTTTATGTGTGTATATATTATCTTTTCCAAAAAGTCAGCTAATTCAAGACGAATAAATGAGTTGAAATTTTTTCACGTATCTACTACTAATCATATTACTCTAATAACTAGTTTTCTATTACTGTGTCATTGTGTCAACCCGACAACACAGATTCTATTTGCAAAGTGTTGTTAACTTGTGTATGAATAACTAAAATTGTGTTTTGAAAAACTTAAAATAAAACTATTGCAAACAAATGTATAATAATGATAATATATATACAAAGTGTTGTAGTATTGTTTTAAACTTTAAAACTCTTGTATGATAGTGTTCCTACATCACTTCATTTATTATCATTGATCATTTATTAATACAGGGTAAACAAATATAGGTGAGAGCGAGTGAAGTGCATTTAATTCACTACTCCATATAATTAATTATCGTAATCTATTTCTTTGACCCAAATATGTATGGATTTAAAATCATTAATCAGTCTATTAAATGAAATGCATACCTAAAGTCTCAACTATAACTATTTATTATGGATTATAGGAAATGCTCCCTTGGAATTTAATATATACGTCTGAACTCGTGAATAACCCTCACAAAGAATGAGACTTAGTTAATACGTTACGTTATAATTATGTTCTAGAAAATTTTGAAGTGCTAATTTGATGGGTAATAAGAGGACAGAGGCACGATGAGAGGGTTGGTCATAGAATTCATGAGAAAGAGCGTGATAATACATGATGGTTTCATGTATTTGTAATTATTGTCATATTTTAACTAAAAGAAAGTGTGATACGATTGCAAGCATAAATATTCGAGGTAAATTTTTATATGCTAACTGGTATCAAGAATTTGAGAGATGTTAAGACTTGAGCTTTAATCTTAAAAGGTCAACCTGATAGGAGAAGTAGCACAAAGCCTTATATAGTATTGTATTGTTTTATAGTTTTCCGGTGTGAGACAAATATTTTAACAAAAAATAAATTTCATAGATGAACATCATTAATCTATAGATCAGAAGATAAAGAATTATTAAACCAAAACTTAAGAATCGTGAATTTTGACTTTTTTAAAGAAACAAAGTTTATATTAATTTTTAGTGAGTTTTTCTTCAAATACAAGACATATGCTTTATCAAATTAAAAAATACAGAGTACTAAATAATTGATATATAAAAAAAAATGTAATATTTTAAATCTTAGATTAATAGTTTTCTTGATTAACTTCATGATTAAAATATATGATACTCATTATATAAAAATAGAATGCTATTTTTATAAATTAAAGTTTATCTTGAATAGACAAAAAGTTGTTTGATTTTGTATATATCAAGAAATAATACAAAAAGAATACCATAAACACTAGTTTAATAGATGATAAATAAAGTGACATGAATCCAAATATAAAAGCTCTTGACATTTATAAGTTAATTCATTCATTTAGTATCTAACTTTTTAAAAAATGAATATATGCATAAGTCATAAAACTTCAATTATTTCAAATAAAATATGCACATATTTTTAAATTAATAACATGGTATAAAAATAATACATTAGGGCACTAAAAATCACTTATCTGACATGTATTATTGATTGTCTGATTAGTCCTCTATATATCTTTGCTTAGGCCTTCCAGGATTATCTTTAAATAAATATTTGCTCCCATATTTCTAACTAAAGATGCTCAAGTGATGATTGTTTAATATTATGGATGCATTATTATCTAGCCGTATGTTTCCACTAATTAAGAATCATCCTTTCACCTATGTCATGCATATAACCTTCAACATGGTATTGTCATTATATTGTCATGTGTGTTTGCAACACCTGAGTAAGCGGTTATTTATTTTATCTACATTTAGTTACTTTGTAAGGCTTTAACATATATAACAACAACCTACACTAACTATATGGTGTTTGAGGCTCTATTTGCAATCACTTAAAATAAGTGATTGTGGCTTTTTTCTAAGAAAAAAAGCACTTATTTTCCCAAACATTATCAACTTTTACTTTCTCGGTTTTCGTGTAGAATCTAATTTTTACTTTTTCTATTACACAAGAAACACTTCTTTTACCAAACACTACCAACTTTTACTACTAATCACTTTTTCCCAAAAAGTTCTTTTATTTAAGCACAAACATTTTATCACATTATTGTGCCTTTATTAAGGTACTGAATGAGAAATTAAGGAGTCAAATTATTTGACTAAAATTGTAAAAAAAATTATTGTAAACTAAAATTTTAATTCAATCTGATAGTTTGATAAATAATTCAAATGATCAGACATAAAGAGTTTGTGAAACTTATTGACAACCCTCGTGAATAGAGTTTGTTATTATCGTGTTTGGGGCTTTAAAGCACCAAACACATCTGATAATCTTCTTAAAGTTTTCATGTGATACTTTAATTTTAATTTGATGTGTTTGGTGCTTTAACAAATCATTTAGTTGAGTTTTTTTCTTCATAAGCATCAATATTATTAATGTCTTGATCTAAACCCGTAAGTAATAGAATAAAGAGAAAACTATCAAATAAGCCCCCGTACTATACCGAAAAAGTCAATTAGGCCCTCGTACTTTACAAACACTCAATTAAGTCCTCGGACTATTAAAATTAAAAAACGTTCAATTAAGCCCTTTCGGTCAGTAAGTAACCGGTTTTCCGGTTAAATGTAACCCGTTTCCCGGCAGCCGCCGTTGCTGGGGTTCGAGCACATCGTCGCCGCCGTCGCCGTTTAACCGGGAAACCGGTTACTTACCGACCAAAAGGGCTTAATTGAACATTTTTTAATAGTTCGAGGGCTTAATTGAGTGTTTGTAAAGTACGAGGACCTAATCGACTTTTTCAGCATAGTACGGGGGCTTATTTGATAGTTTCCCTAGAATAAATTAATGACTAAAATATATGACACTCATCCTACAAAAATAGAATGCTATTTTTATAAAGTTTATCTTTTTTTTTTGTGGAAGAAAGTGGCTTATATTAATAAGAAATAACGTAAGCAGGATACAACCAGACAAAGAGCCCACTGTCTACCGTCCGCCCTTGAATCGGAATTAGAACATGCCACCTCCAAAGAAACAACTAGATTCGCTGATCCTGAATTGGGCATACCTGAGCCAATGACTGGCAAACTAGGCTCCCCATCACCTGTCCTAAGTTCTAGAGTCCATTTGCCAGAAAAACACGACACAACCAAAACAGAGAAAAGATCCGAATAGAAACGAAACACGATGAAAAATAAACAAGTAAAATAAATTTCTTGAACCCTAGCATGCACCTTGTTCAATCCCTGGCGGTGGTTCAGGAAGAGGCCGGACCATTGCTACGATTCCTGACGCACCAAAGCAGTTTTTCTTCAATTCGGCCACCTCTTCTTCTTCTTCTTCTTCATCGATCACCCCTGTGCCGTCTCCATCCGAACCGATAGCGATCCCCCTCTTCTCTTCCTCGAGAATCATATCTGGAATCGAAACGAGAGGAGCGATAATTGAGTCGCAATGCACCAAAGCACTCCCCTATTGCGATCGTAGAACCCGCGCTCACCTTCGACACAACCCTGCACCAGCCGGATCCCCAACCAAGCGCACCTGTTCACCTCCCTCCTGCCGAAGAACTGACCTACCACAGCCGATCGGGCCAGACAACCAAGGTTGTCGCCGGAAAAGCAAACCCTAGTACAGGGTACGACCGCCGATTTTTTCTTTTGGGGATTGGTTTTATAAAGTTTATCTTGAATAACCAAGGTCATTTGGTTTTGTAAATATCAAGCAATACAAAAAGAATATGGTACCCTAAACACTAGTTTAATTTAAAAGATCTTAAATAAAGTGACACGAATCCAAATATAAAAGCTCTTGTCATTTATAAGTTAATTCATTCATTTAGTATCTAACTTTTTAAAAAAGGATTTATGCATAAGTCATAAAACTTTAATTATTTAAATAAAATATGCATTATTTAAATAAATCATTTAATTATTTTTTTAAATTAATAACATTGTATAAAAATAATACATTATGGCGATAAAAATCACTAATCTGATTCGTACTATTGTATAATAAAAAACACAATTGTGATTTGAAAGCATCCATGCTAATAAAAACATGCAACACAAAAATGTGATTCTTCATTATTGTAATAGCATTCATTATAGATAAATAAGTCGGTGTTCATTTTTAAAATATAATATAGGCTAGCAAGTGTGCACCGGCTAGATTAGATATCAAGCAAGTTCATAACGTTTTAAGTAATTTTTAATATTCAAATAAGGTTTAATTTGTTTCAATTAGGAATCACTTAGGCGTTTGATCTATCGATAATTTTTTTAGAGCATTTCAATTATAAAATGTAAGTAATTCTCATTGGGAAAATTTTATTTGTGGTACTTTTAGTTATTCTATGTGCACTAATGTAATTAAGTAATTTTGTTTTTTAAATAAAAAGTATACAAAGTACTATGTACTATACTAATAAAATAAAAAACTCTGATCTGATTGCCATTAACTAGAAAGAAATCCTAGATCTGTCCATGACTTTATTTGATGCTCAAATACACATTGATTTAATGTTGTACTTTATTGATCTGTCCATGACTTTATTTGATGCTCAAATACACATTGATTTAATGTTGTACTTTATTGCTAACTTATAATCCGTACTTCAATACTCCATAGTTTTTACTATTTTGTCCTGCCTTCGTAATTCGTCCATTGATCTCATGGAACACGTTTTTTTGCATTGTATGCATGTGTTGAGATGTACTCACAATTTAAATAGTTAATTAAGATTCAAAACATATTTATCTACTCTAAAATCTTCGATCACCCAACATGGCCACATCATTAATTAAACCATGATATATAATTAACACCGATATTCAAAAGCTAAACAAGACTATATAGGTATGTTTTAAGCACAACCTTTACGCTCAAATAAACTAGAATCATAATAAATAAATAAATAAAAGTAAACTAAACATTATCTTAATAAATCAAATTAAAGAAACCCATAATTAACTTCCTAAAGTTTGAGATTAAGGTCCAACTTGCCATCTTGATCCTCTTTGTTGTCAAGGATGATAACCACTCCAACGGGTGGCTTCTTCTCCAATTGGTTGAGCAAAGATTTTGTACGACGATCCGGAAACACGTCTGTTTGACTTTGACCGATATGCAGTGACGGTGGCGGCGGCCCTGCGGTGTGGGGAACTGAAAAGGTCACACCTTGTGCTTGGTGAATCTCAAAATGGTTTAAAAGGCTTATAACATCTGAACAAATTTGATCACAAACACGACATATTATTGGGCGCCGGTCAACCAACCAATGAGACCGATAATAGTCATTGGGGCGTTGACTGGTAGTAGAATAATAATTTGTTAAAGCACCTGAATTATGGTTAAGAAATAATCGATCCTCACCTTCACTCGACATGAAGAATTTTATTAATTGACAAAAATTATAGTACAATTGGCTTTGATGTGTAGCAATAAAATGGGTTGTGTGTGTACTTATATATGTGAAAAAGTGCTAGTCACCTACCCTTAGGTTAATGCTAGTAATCAATGCATGAGTATTAAATACAGAAATAGTTAATGAAATACTTAAATGAGTAGAATCTGAACATCAAATGCTTGGATTATCAATTAGTTGTACATTTTTATATGTTCTTTCAAAATCCTTCCCATCCAAAAATCTCTCCTATAAAGAAGGGTTACAAATAAAAAAGTGTTTTTTCAAAATGTACAATTTTTAAGACAATAACTGTTTAATTTGGTTCAAGCAAAAAGATTACAAATATTTCTTACTTGTCACTGTGTCGCTGACAACTAGTGTCCATGCACACAACTAATGTATGTGCACAAACATAGGTTCTTGTGCAATCTGATATCAACATCTCTGTAAAAAAACATTTATGTACAATTCAGTGGGAATGGAGCGCAAACAGTGTCGGATCTATCATTTAAACTTTGGGTGTTCATTTTTTCTAAAATTAAAACTGGAGAAGACAATAACCAATTAAACTAAAATTATACATAGATACTAAAAGTGTTCATGTGAACACTTTTGCACTAAAGTGGCTCCGCCGGTGAGCGCAAATATTAGTTTTGAGCTTGATTTGTTCATACAATTTCTCAAAAGCATAACTAATTAATTATCTTTATCCAATCCAAACTGTATGTATATAAATTTGATGCAAGTGCTATTATCTGAAACTACATGAAATTACTCTTAAGCTATACCATAAGTAAAGGTGATTCAAATGCACCCACTTCAACAATACTAGTGTGCAAACATATCATTTTTGTGAATTTTTCCATTATTCTCTTTTTGTCCATGTCGTTATTTCACTCCTAAATAATGATGTTTTTTGCATGTACTAATTGTATAGTCCATTTCTGTTAATGTTAGGGTATCACTACAGGTATGCTTTTCAATTTGTAACGGAAATAATTACCTTAAACATTTTTACTGACTTATTTCATAATAGGAGTAGATAATTGAAATTGGTTACTACACTTATATAAATCCGACTTAAGCAATAGTATAATACACATATATCAAATTAAACTTTATCATCCAAAAGCATGCTTATTTAGATCAGATAAGATTTATCAAACTTGGCAAAGGAAACTTCATTTGAAGTGAAACGTCAATTCCTCTTGTTTAATACTAGCATATTTTTTTACCCAAATAAAAAAAATGTTATTTGAGCCAACTTATTGTTCCAAATAAGGTGTAATTTATATTTGTATCGATCTCAAGATTGCCCACATTTATTCATTATACATTTGTACTTCCAAAAATATTAGGATGAATTTAATGTAAAACAGACGTAGAAGAGTCTTCACGCACTATTTTATGTGTGTATTAAGGATGTTTTCTTTGGACTGTTTTCAGTCCCAGACCAGACCAGACTTAAATAGACCAGACCAGACCAGACCTGGACAGTTATAAAATACAAAGAGACCAGACGTTTACCAGACCAGACCAGACCAGTTCAGACCAGACTTAAACAGACCAGACCAGATCAGATCAGACCAGACCAGACCAGCAAATTTCAGTCCAAAAGAAAACATCCTAACTTTTCCAAAAAGTCAGTTAATTCAAGAAGAACGAATGAGTTGAAAAAAATATACGTTTATTTGTACTACTGATCATATTACTTTAATAATTAGTTTTCTATTACTGTGTCATTGTGTCAACACGACAACACCATTTCTATTTGCATAGTGTTGTTAACTTTATCACAACTTATATTTTTATAATATTAACTTCTATACGAATAACTAAAATTGTGTTTTGAAAAACTCAATTAAAATAAAACTACTGCAAACAAATGTATAATAATGATAATATATATACAAAGTGTTTGTAGTATTGTTTTAAATTTTCAAACTCTTGTGGTAATGTATGATAATGTTCCTTCATCACTTCACTTATTATCATTGATCATTTATTAATACACGGTAAACAAATGTAGGTGAGAGCGAGTGAATTGAAGTGCATTTAATTCACTACTACATATAATTAATTATTGTAATCTATTTCTTTGACCCAGATATGTATGGATTTAAAATCATTAAATCAGTCTATTAAATGAAATGCTTACCTAAAGTCTCAACTATAACTACGAAGTATTTATTATGGATTATAGGAAATGCTCCCTTGGAATTTATTCTATACGTATGAACTCGTGAATAACCCTCACAAAGAATGAGGCTTTGTTAATACGTTACGTTATTACGCCCCCAAAAATTTTAAAGTGCTAATTTGATGGTTAATAACAGGACAGGCCATGATGAGAGGGTTAATCAGAGAATTAAAGAGAAAGGGTGTGATAATACATGATGGTTTCATATATTTGTAATTATTGTCATATTTTAATTAAAAGAAAGTGTGATATGATTGCAACTTATTTACAAGCATAAATATGTGAGGGAAAATTTTATATGCTAACTGGTATCAGGAATTTGAGAGATGTTAAGATCTAAGTTTCATCCTAAAATGTCAACCTGATAGGAGAAATAACCCAAAGTCTTATATAGTATTTTATTGTTTTATAGCTTTTCGTTATGAGACAAATACTTTAAAATGAATTTCATAGATCAACATCGTTAATCTATAGATCGGAAGATAAAGAATTATTAAACCAAAACTTAAGAATCGTGAGTTTTGACTTTTTTAAAGAAACAAAGTTTGTATTAATATTCAGTGAATTTTTTTCAAATACAAGACATATGCTTTATCAAATTAAAAAATACTAAATATAGTACAATTTAGTGTGGCGGTTCAAAAAGGAAATATGGTACAATTTTAGCGGGACAGGGGGAGGGGGTATAATTTAAGTATAACAAAAAAAATAATTTCTTAACGCACTCTGTAAAAAAATGTTTTTAGGGAAAACTGTCAAATAGGTCCTCAATTTGAGTTGACATAATCCATTCAAATTGACTTAATAATAATTTCTTAACGCACTCTGTAAGATTATGTTGTAATCTATGTAATTAATCTACCTAAAGAGATGTCTTAATCACATAGATTAATTACTATATCATTCTTAATGATCAAGTCAATTTTTTACTAATGATTATGTCATATTATCGATTAATTAATGGCCATTTCTATGAAGATTAAACATGCTAAGTCAAAAGGTAACAACACTTAAAGTATGGAGGAAATTAAACATAGGAAGAGGAGGAGGATGAAA